ACATGGCCCAACGAAGGCTCAAAAGGGACTGGAATAGAGTGAAGATAGCCTAACATAGCCCTAGAAGTCACTATCTAAAGGTAGTGTCTGCGAGATAGGGACTTGAACGTCGTAAACTGGAATAAAAAACACCCCCTAACGTGGCCAAACATAGCTTTCATATTGCCTGACACGTTGGGCCATGTTAAATCCCTATCTCGAAACATGGAATCTATGCTCGGCCACGTTGGGGAGGGGGGGGGCACTTCCGGGGCTATGTTCGGTGGAAATATTGGCCCCTTCCATGCGGTGCGGGCGGTTACCGTCGCGAAGCGACGTGAATACTCCAACTCTTAACAAGAATAAGGATTCGGATAATGTTGGAAAGACCTGTGGAAGCACTCGCAGTACCTTCCCAATTCATTTGCCAAGTCTTGCCTCAATGATGAGGTACACGATGCACCCAAGCTTGCGGCCCCAAATGTCGACGTACCTGGTGCTCCGTACATCTGATTATGCCAGCATAGACCCCAGACAGTTTCAGCATTCTTTTGCGTCAACTCCTTGAAATCCAATGTTGGTGGTAACGTCTGTACTTGTATTGCTATACTGTAGGTTTCAGCTGTTTGTGAATGGCATTGCTTGAAACAAAAATGCATCATATGTGCAAAACGAAGGGATTTATATCATGAGAACATCCGAAGATGGTATCAATCTTGAAGCGCTGCATCACTGTTGTATTCATAGCCGGCCAAGGGGGGGATAAGGCCTGGGCAAGGCGGTGGTAGAAGGGCCGACGGTGCAGCCAAGCAGACCCGGACAAAGCCTGGACAAGGACAACGCAGGGCCCGCAGCAGCGCAGTGGACAATGCCTGGACAAGCCCGAACAAGGCAGAAAACAAAGAGGACAGAAGAAGGAAAAAAGGACAGAAAGTTCGCAAGCATGGCTAAAGGGCAGCAGAAGGACTCCAGGCGGACAACTTGCAGACAAGAAGGGGACAGACTGTGGCCAGTGTCTAACTGTTTGAGGAAAAAGGGCTCGGAGCCTGGCAGTATGTCTAAAATTCATGCCGAGGCGCATTCCGACGATCGTCCCGAAAATTGCCGATGAGGTAAAACCTACCAGGTGCTTGATCTGAGAGCATCCAAAGCACATGCCCTAGCTCCGGATGCTGAGAGCGCTAAGACTGGAACCAGTCACGAACAAGGTGCTGATATCTACGTTGTAGCTTTGGTAGAGCGTGTACATGTTCGTACCCTTGGCAGCTTCAGTGTGGAAACGAAGTCTGGAACTTCTGAGGGTGCCTGCAGCCAGTCTGCACCCATGATGATAGTGTAGACTGTGAGGTACCTCTCACGCTGACGGAAGGATCTGTTCAAGCACGTGCAAACTACCTGTATCTCTCTCTTCAACTGTTTGTTTCATTTGTTTCCAGAGTTCTGGCTGGTGAAGCTCACTGCCGTTGGAATGACCGGAACTCTGCAAGCTTCTCACCGCTGGGCTTCTCTTCCTCCTCCTGAAGGACTGCAAAAAGCAGACCTTGTGCCTTACCTGGTTGGCACAAGAGCCGCCAGAGCGAGTATGTTACTAAAGGATACTAAAGGAGGAATTCTCATTTCAGGGCGAAAGCCGAATTCCTCACACCGGATTTGGACGCCCAAATGCGGGTACACAGGTCGGGTGGATCCAGTCAGGACGGCACGGGCGCTATTAGGTTGCAGGCCATCGACTCCTCTCGCAGCCTCGCCTTGCCATCGCTACTCCTTGAGGCAACTCTTTCGCCGATGGCCACAAAGGAGGTGATTGCGGCCTCACAAAAAGCAGAAAAAAAGAGGACCCAGGTGGAGAAAAAGAACTGTGTGCAAATGGATCCATCTGATGCAATCAAGGTGCTAAGACCAAAAAGGTTCGACTAGCCCAGGCCGGCCAGTCTGGCAATTCAAGAACCATGGGCGTCCTCACAAAGGCCGGTTCTGGGAGGAAAGGCGAATGAGACGGGAAATTTGCAAGCCACCTCCACGGGTAGGCTGAAAAGCCCGCTCCGTGCCGAGTGTGTGCCCAAAAATTTGGACTCAGAGCCAACGCTTTCATAGTATGGGAGCCAGAGCAAAATGCCATGGTGAGGCATCATGTCGTGTCGACTGACATGGATAATCACTGTTGCTCCTGATTGTTAAATTGTTGCGCTTCGAATCCTAGATTATGGAGGCCAACGCACATTCAGGTCTTGCAAAGTCTTTATTTATGATTTTGATTTATGTTACTACTCCCAAAACGCAAGCTCCCAAAGCATGCGAGACAAGTGGTAGTCCAACAACGAACGAGCATCAAAGCACTCGGTGCTTTTAAATCCAGAAGCCGTGTCCAGCGCCGCTTCACCTGTACAGGTGGCTCGATGTCGCAAGACCAGCAAAGCGTGACAACCACCACCGCCACATGGCCTAGTAAAGGAGTAACCTAGGAGATAAAGCGTAGCACTTAGTTTAATCATAATCATACCAAAGTACGTCATGGCTGTAAACTGTCTAGCACTGCTAAAGATCTCTGCTTGTGCTTTCTCGTGCTGTGTCTGGAGCTTTGAGTGGAGTTGCGCTGGTGACTATGGAATTCTATCTCTTTGTAGAGAAACAACGAGCATCGCTGCTCACATTGCTGAATTCTCTTTCGCAGGATTTTTTCTGTTTTCATTGGTGCCAAATGTGTTGACCTCTGCTTCGTCCAGCTTGTCTACAACAATGTGGCTGGACAAACCTCAAAGTCAGCACAGTCAGCACTTAAGTCCATTCCAACATCAACAACTGCTTTTTGCCGCTACTTGATTGTACCTGAAACTTGCATTTGGTCCAACGTATAATGGGTATACATAAACAATGAACGTGTTTGGTTGACACTTCCGAGCGCCAATTTGGGGTCTTTGGTTTCAGCGGTCATTGTCTTCCCAGTTTCGGATGGTCAAGACTGGGGGCGCTGCCATAGACCAACAAGTAACGCAGCATGACTGCCTTGAGTTTTCTCACAGCTGGTGCTGAGGGGATTCTTCGGATTTGTGAGGCCACCCACACGCTGGCCACGAACTCGGTAAGCTCCCAACGCTGGCATCCGATACTGTGGTGATGCCCTCGCTATGGGCTTGATGCGCAGCAGGGTCCTTAATGTACTCGACCACCGCCAGAATTTGAAGAGCCTAGCAGGCGATTCCCAGCGACTCAGAGCCATGCAAACATGAAGGAGAGCAACTGTCATGTATTTGTGGTCTTGTGGGCGGTCTCTAGTCCACATCGTCCACATCTGCAGCTCCTCTGTTCAACGACACACTGCCTCGCCAAGCTTGTTCTTGTAGCGGCTTCCTGCAAAGCCAGCACAATAGTGCTGTGCCGTCGACACTCTGTCTGCCAGGTAAACACCTGCATGTCAAGCATGAGCATGGGGCTTCAAGCCCAAAGAAGCACATCAAGCACGGTTGCACGACCTTTGAAGTCTCTCTGGCTGCCAGGGCATTTGGATGTACCCATCTCTGATCCAGTCACTCAGCCTGGCCCAAATCGAGCGCCACTTCCCATCAGCTCGGTGTGAGAGAGGATCCGCAGGCCATTGCGCATGATCGAATACCTCACAACTGCAGCGCAGCACTGATTCTCTCTGAGTTTCTTCGGGATCGGGATGACAACGGCACTCGTTTCTGGGAAGAGGGCGTGAATGACAACTGGGCAGGGCTGGACACTTGTTTCAAACTGCTTCAAGTCAGCACAGCAAGCCAGCTGAGAAGGCATGCTGAGCTTTGGGCATCAAGCAGTGTCACTCCCTTTGCGTGATTGGACATTTTTCGACCTCTCGACAAAGAAGTCGACTGAGCACGCTACCAGTTTCGCAGAGGACTGCCGTGGAGACCAAAGCTGCTGCCAAACTGCTTCCGGCGGCAGCGAAAGACAGCTTCCTGTGCAGGTGCCGCCTGAGACAGACAATTACTTGGGATTGCAATTAACAAATTGTCAAAACTACTGTACATCCACACGACTTGCTTTCCTTGGCTGATACGCATGAAGTCAAATATAGACCACAAAGACGATGAAGGATTGTTCTGGGATGGTCCCGATGTGTTCTTGCTGTTTCCATCTTGCCGCCTGCAGCACGGCCAACTCCAGCACCCTTGGCCCAGTGATCAGGCCAAGTTGCTGCTCAGGCCTGTGGCGCCCCAGGTTGTCTTGATCGTCTTGTATTGTGCAAGCGGACTCTAAGCACTCTAAGTGTCTTCAGCCAGAGATGTTGATTGATTCATTGAAAACATATATATATATATGTGTGTGTGTGTTCTCCCTCACAGCACAGCATGTCTCTTCGCCTCTCAAGCGACTGCAGCACAAGTGGGCAACTAGCCATCAAGAGTCGCAGCACCGAAGAACTGTTGGGGCCTTGGAGCGTCTGCTTCCACTTGGAACCCAGTGTTGAATTGGTTGAGTTGAACTACATAGTTCTTATCATCGGCACCATGTTCCTTAAAGCCGCACCATGTCTCGGGTAAGCCACGCCTCTTTGCTCCAGCATTTGATGTAATTCAAGGTCTTTGGCCTGCATCGTCAGGTGTTCTTGGTTGACTCCTTGGCCTACCTGCTTATCAACCCGTAGTTCCCTACTCAGCCGCCCCAGCCAAACCCTCAAAACATCTATGTCAACAGTTGCAGGTGTTCCGGTGTGGCAGGTGTTCCGGTGCCCTGAGGCATCAAGTTGCAGCTCTAGTGATTCCTGGCAAACCTAGTGGCATTGCCTAGTCATCCTCTGATGCTCTTTTTGTTGCCGAAGCATTGACTCCGCATTGGACCATGAGGCTCACTTCATCTGCAGTTCATCGGTGTGCTTCCAAAGGTCCTTCCTTGTGGCATCTGCTTGTTCGTGCTTAAAACAAGGCTTTCACCTGCATTTCTGTCCATTGGCATCGCGTGCTTCTTTCACTTCACAGCTTGTTTCTCCACCGAATCTGATCCAGTTTCTAAGTCTGTGTGTTCGTGCCCTTTGGGCATCCTTGGTTTATGAAGTAGTTGTGAGTCAGTGCCTCCGAAACTCCAACCAGTCTGACTCCTTTCTGCGGTGTGAGCTGCTGGAGGCTTTGTTATCACTTGTGGTAAGAGCCCTTGGATGCAAAAACAATCTCTTGCCAGCTTGAGGCCTCGCCATCTACATCATCCATGGATAGTTTCAAAAATTCTCAGCTTACAAACTTCCCGACGATCTCAAACCTTCTGGTCAGGCATGTCGATGCCCTGCTGACCCTACAATGTTGTGCTGACAATGTAGGCATTTAATCACACAATATCGCAACATATCAAGTGTTCCATCCCATCCCTCTGATGCAGAAATGACAATTCGCACCTGACAAAGCTCTTCTGCTGCTGGAAACTTCGCAAGCAATGCAGACATGGTGCTGCATTGGGCACAGGGGGCAGCCTTAGTGATGACCTTGCGGAACAGAAGCAGATTGAAGCTACAGTGTCTAAGAATGTTTCTCCGTGTTTCTATTTCTCTTGAGATGTTGCGTTCATTGGAAGGGAAAACTCATTGTCTGTCATTCGATGCCTCTCCAGATGGCTCTTCAAACAACCAGCCAAGGAAGCCTGGCGTCAAGCACATTCACGGTGACGCTTCGCACTTCACATCAGTACCTCCAGACCGGACTGTAGCGGACTGGGCAGAGGCGGACCTGTCGAAGTGTCCACGCCAAGACCAAAGGACCGAGGGAGAACAGGTTTGTTCCTAGTAGCGAGCATTGCTCCTAGTAGTACGGCCAGGAGCCCCTAGTAGCGTCCTTGCTCCTGGTCCTAGTAGCGATGCCAGGAGCCCCTAGTAGCTTCTTGTTCTTGCTTTTGTCCCTTTTGTCCGTTTGGGGGTCATTGGGACGTCGAGGTTAATGAGTCGTCTTCTGCATATAGCTACAAGGAGGAGGATAAGTGCTTTACAAGCTGCAAGAAAGTTCAACCGTTTCAGCAAAGTGAGCAATGTCATTTCATCTCCAATTTTGTTCAAGATCTGGTGAGACAAATATGTGATGAGATTTAGCAAAGGCTAAACGACAACTGTCAACCGAAAGCTCCTCCTGGTCCATTTTGGACCTTGCAAAGGGCTGTTTGTTTTGAAATTGCCATTCTGGAGCAGGGAACAGGACTCCAATTTGGCACAAGCTCCTGAAATCAAGGAGACCTATTCCTTGCAAATTGTGGAAGCTTCGCTTTCTTGGCCTCAGCTTGATTGACAAGAAGACTCTGGCTCTCCCTTTCCCAGAAGCTGAGCTTTGAGCTAATAAAGAATATCATCATACTACTAAGAGCTAAATATATGTGTGCGTACTGTATGTGTATATATATATATGTATATATAGTATGTAGATAATTGTAAATATATAGTAATATATACTAGGGTGAGATGACTTAGGCCAATTGGGTCGAAATGACATACAACTTTCCCAGGGCAAGTCCTAAGTCATGTACAAATGTTAAATTTGCAATTTCATTGGCACACACTCATGACATAGGCCTTGTTGACCTGGTCCTGAGTTTTTTTTTTTTGGGGGGGGGGTTGGTGGGGGGCATGCTCCTGGAAGATTAGGGTGAGATGACTTAGGCCACTTGGGACTTAGGAATCCTGTCCTGTCTCATTAAGAACACATTACTATCTCATTTAAGTCTGCCTTTGTGCTTTTTTGCTCTCAAATTCCTATCTCTCGATGGTTTATTCATTGTTTAGATACCAAAGTCGTATGTCATGATGCTTGTCAATATAAAATCAACTGTTTTTAGGATCTTTGGTGACAACCTCTGGCATCTCTGATTTTGAGGTTTTTCCAAGCTTTTGCTTCATGACATAAATACTTGTGGGGGGTAGGCTAAACCTTCATGACTTAGCCGCCGCAATTTGGAGGTAGTTTTCACAAGTCCTTTGTCATTTCAGCCTAGTATAGTCAGTCCAAATGCCACATACTTAGGCCAAAAGCAATCCTGAGATCCGCACTTCGCACCACTTGAGCCGGCTGCCCACTAACAGAACCAGAACGAGCTCGAGGTTTACTTTTGGCTGAAGCCTGACTTCAAAGTCTTGCCAATGAAGCCTGACTTAAGGAGTTCTTGCAGTCCAGGTGTGGTGCACACAGGTTGTTTGTAAAGATTGTGCGGCCACAACTGCCCTTCACTTCACTATTCTTTTTGTTTCTTCCTTCTTTGAGGAATTCCCAGTTATACATTGTACCGTTGGAACATGATCTGCGTTTGCAAATCCTCACCATCAAGACCTCCAAACGGAAGTCACTAGAAGTCCTTCTACTCTACTCTATCGTGCTGAGCTGTTCCCGCACGAGAACAACATGGCACGTGTGCAAAGCGATCAGCCACAAATGCTGAAGCTTGTGCACTGTCTGGTTTTGTAGTTCGGGTGGAGGCAAATGCAGCCGGGCTAGCAATCATTTCATGGCTTTCATCGCCTTCATTGCTTTCATCGCCTTCATGGCTTTCATCGTAGTCCTCGTTGGCTTTTGCGTATAGAGTGCCTGTGTTGCATCATACAGCTCCTTTCCAACCTGCGGGATGTGGGGCTACAGTTCGAATTGGTTTTTGACCTACGCATTGGGAACTTCGCCAGAAGAAAAGCAACAAACGTGAACAAACCCATGCTTATCACTGTTGCAATCCCAAAGAAAATGCAAAGGCATTCAATGAAGAAATGGTCGTAGATGAGAAGCGTTCGGTGATTGGCAAGGAGTGGGCTTTCTAGCTTGTCACGTTCCTGTTGAGGCTCTCAAACATTGATCACAGCAGCTGAGAATCCCACCACGGAGAGCATGAACAGTGCAGGGTGAACTCGTGATTTCTTGTGAAGAAGTTTCTTCGCACTGGCCACTGCCGCTTTCCAAGGAGCAGACTCCTTCTTGGTAAACCTAAGCTCCGTGACCAAATGTGCAGAAGGTTATAAGGGAAGCCAACTTCAAGCGAAGACCGTGAATCATTGGACTAAGCCGAGGACTTCTTGAGTGTCCAGTTTTTCTTCCCTGCCTTTTTGTACTCCTCCTTGCAGCGCTGTTCAAAAAGAAAGCAAAGCAAACGTGTTGTTAAGCTTCGCCAAAAAGATCTAGAAACCAAATGATTAGTGCGAGCGCTTCTTCAAGGAAGCTCCCCCCGCCTGAGTCCTGTGTCCAGTTGTACTAGCTTACCTCCTTACTTAATCAAGTAGGCGCCTACTTGATTAAGATACTTGATTAAGATTAAGTAAGGAGGCAGGGCCACTGGGCTTCAAAAAAGGGAAGTGTCTTTCCGAAACATTTCAATTTAACTCATGCACTTCGCGCTCTCTGAGCCTGCACAGCTTCGTAAAGATGCTTTCCTGTTGCACCAAGCATGAAAAGAGCAGGATGCTCTCTCTTTCTGACCTTGAGCTCCTTTCGGACGCTTTGAACTGCCTTGGCTGTCGATTTCAACAAAACCGGACGAACCTGGTTAAAAGAAGAAGTATTTGGGAAGAGTGCTGGTCCCAAAAATGATGAATAAGACCAAAGCTGCAGCTTTCCAAGGAGCCTTTTCCTTGGCCGAGAACGGCTTTAGTGCCCAGGCTTTCATGGCTTTCATGGCTTTCGTCTTCGCCATTGCTCGATCAAAGGCTCTTGGGGTCAAGCACGGCGATTTGAACAGCTGGGGAATTGTGGATTCATGTGAAACTCAGAAACTGATGAATGTGCTAAGGCCACAGCAATAGAAGACAGCAAGAACCCAACCCATTACTTTGGAGCAATGTGCGTTTTACATCCAAAACATTCCTGCCTTGAAGCCCTTGCCAGGTGACTCAGGTGCTGATTGACCAGCTAGAGTGTGTGATTGAGCTGCACACGCTCCTGGAAGGGTCTTCAGGCACAGCAAGCATGGCTACACGTGGAAGCCTCCCCACCTGGTGAAGGGGCACATGTGGCCAGCCATGCGCTCAAAGGCCCTGCCAAGTGGCAGCTTCGCAGGCTACATCCTTGTGGGCGAAGGCCTGGGAGACGATCTGAGTGAAGTCCAAGACTTAAACCCTGACAAGGAAAGGAAGAAAAAACGACAAAAAAGTAATAGTTTACCAGCTACCTGTCTAAAGGCAAAAAAATTAAAGAAACACAAAAAGTAAATAAAAGAAACTGTCAAACGCTCCACCAACACACTAAATCATGTGCTACTAGAAAATGATACCTTTTCTAAGGGACTTGGGTCCAACCATTTCCTAGGGGAAGTTCTAACTGTGATCTTGAAATGCATTCTGGTCTAATGAATTCCAAGACCAAAGACCAAAACCAAACAGTGTGGACCAGCATGGAACAGCATGGAGCATTCAATGCGGACATAAAGTGATGAATAAAAATAAACTGTTTTCTGCTTTTAATAGAATCCTTTCCATGTGAGCTGAACTGCGCTCGTTTTTCTTGAGCCAAACGTGTGCAACATTGTTGTTGCATGGATGTCGTTTTCAAGCTAGGGAGATGCCCTTTTTTGGACTCACACTCCCCCTTGCGAAGGTCATCGCAACTTCAGGGCACGATCGCCACCTGGTCTTTGACCAGCAAAAAGCTGTAGCCGCACCACCGACCTTGGGTGTTCGGCAAACCATCCTTCCTCCAGTCAGCATCCACGTAGATGAGCCGGTTGCCGAAGGTCATCGTCGACAGGTCCAAGATCCACGCCACCGTCACCCTGAGATACTCCAACGATCTCAAGTTCTCGGGCGTCGATCGATGCTCTGGATGGAATCTTTGAACTCGAAGGCCGTGTCGACGGGTCAACCACGTGGCCGATGGAATGCGAAGGTAGTCCCAAGCGTCCGTACGAGGAATTGGTCGGAATTTCGTCGCCTCCTCGTCCACCAGCAGCTGCACCTTGTCGAACAAGAGCTGTGTCCACCACACCGATGGCTGCAAGATCAGTCGATCATCTTCAGCTCCATATGGAGGGATCAACCGTGGAGTTTGGGGCCAACGCGGCCGCTCCCAAGGATTCTCATAGCCTCTGTGTGGATCTTCACCAGGTTCAACCGGTGGACGAGGCATCGCCATGTGCTTCGGTGCCTGAACCAGATGCCAAAGACCTTGGACACGATGAAGAACCCCCATAGCCCTTTGAAGCAGTCATACTTTTAGATGAAGTCCCCATTGCTGCGGCACCACGTGCAGCAGCCTTGCCTCCACTTTCTTCTGACAAGTAGGCGGGTGGCTTCTTCCAAGAAACATTTTCTCCCCCGGATCGGCAGTTGGCGTTGATGTCCGGGGCATGTTGCACATATTTTGGCAAAACCGGAGGAGGCTTTGCCATCGGCGGCTGGCCGATGTGAACCTCCTTCGGAAGGATCGGTGGAGCCTTCACAGGTGGAGGTGGTTCAACCCCTCCATACTCTTCCCATGTTCTCGCCCCCGACGAAGACGATGCGACGTTGCTGCTCCCCTGGTTGCCGAAGAACCCGGTCTCGCCACCGCCCCCACTAAAGCGCAGCTGAATCTTGCCCCAAACGCCATGGCGCACGCTCGACGTTTCCAGTTCTACAAAGGAAGCCTCTAGGCTGCTGTTAGGGTCAGTTGAACCCGCTAGTGGCACCTCTTCTGACCTTTGCGTGCGGCCCGACGCAACAGATTCTCTGGCCTCTTGTTCACTTTTGTTTTCTTGTTCTTTTCTTGATTCTTCTTTTGATGACCCTTGGTCT